TTACAGTTAAAGTTAATCCCGATGGTTCTGTTGCTAGACTTAAGGCCATACTTGTGGCTAAAGGCTATGCACAAACTTATGGGGTGGATTATTTAGACACATTTTCCCCAATTGCTAAAATCACTTTTGTAACACTTCGAATTTGAAAAAAGAAGAAGGAAAATGCAAATTTTTCAACTGGTGTCTATGTCTACGGTTCCCCACCTACGGACCGTAAGTGATCCTATGGGCGGTAGGTGGCAACCGTATGTAGTGGGATAATAAACTTTTCAAAACAAGTTTCAGTACCCTTTTTTACTGTTCAACAAGATGGTCCGTCATTCCTTTTGCGATTCGTAGATAGATCTCGTAGGTGACCTCCAGACATAGAAAAAAATTTAAAGCTTAAATTTTGGCCTATGGTGACCATATACGGACCGTAGGTAGACCTACGAACCGTACATAGGCCCCGTTGTTTGAGGGTCCACATTCAAGTCCCTGAACCCCACCTACGGTCGACCAAGACGGTCCATGGTACGACCTACGAACCATAGGTCTGAGCCGTCGGTGGAGGTTCAACAGTTTTATTTTAAAGTAACTTGGGTATTTTCCTAATTGTTTTAACCCAATACTATGTCGTTTTACCCTCTACCTTAGGCCCCATATAAACATTATTTATCTCCTAAATTCTCAAAAGTTGATCAAAGTTCTTCCCCAATAATTCTCTCTCTAAAGCTTGAAGAAGAAGTCTAGGGTTTCAAGATCAAGTCTCTAAATTCACCATTGATTGTGGGCTTTTGACATCAAGGTATGATAGTATTCACCTATGGAGTCTTTTTCTCCACGGGGTTCCTAAATTCTCAAATTTTACAAGATAGAATCTCCAATTTAAATTAGGGTTTTATTCAATATCATGGTTCCTTTCAATTATGATCCAATTGATTGTTTTATGTCTTTTTATGCATGAATTGAGATAATTACATGTTTTTAAGTTGAGTTCCCATGAACCCATGATGACCCACGATTTCTAGACTATGATTATATGATGAGGTTTTTGAACTATGAAAGAAGAATTTATTAATATATGTATGCTCTTTATGAAATTGACATAAATGATTTAAGGTTGCTTTGAGAGTGAAGCATCGATGTTATTGTTGTTGTGAAAAGATTTCTCACATACTACTCAAAACATGAATGTGAAAGGAATTTCTCACATGAAGGATTCATAGGGTTGAAAGGTTTTCTCAACTAAACTTTGAATCCAGATTTAGCAGCTAGTCTAATGAACTCTAGTTTGGACTGGCTACTTGATTGTGCCTTTCCATGGATAATAAGATGAATATGACTAATGACTATTTCGTGGGATTTATACATAGCACCGAGAGGATATTGAGATGGAAGCTCTCCCGTAGATAAGGCCGAGTTTTTAGTAGCAATCTCTCTATCCCTTAACTATGTACCACTATAGGTTTGTCTTAGATAGACATTAGCTAGTGGATCCACCTAAGCTAGAAGTTTATGGTTCTCACCTTGGAAAGTAAGGAAATCTCATTTCGGTGTGGGATAGACTCCGGATTCCATGTTATAGCTCATATGGTCTATGTCAGTTAATGGCAAATCTCCCACAATAATGAACTAAGGTTACTTCTAGAAGTATCTCAAATGTGCTTTAAAGATATTTAGCTTGCATTGACCATGATTTATACTTATGTATTCTAACATATTATTTTATGATTTAGCTTGGTCATTGCATGTCATATAAAGTCCTTTTTAGCGTGATTTCATAACTCTTATGCATTGCTATCATACTTAGTACATTCCATGTACTAATGCATACTTGTGCCTACATTGTTTCACTAATGTAGGGTCCAACGCTTCCCATCCACATACCCGTGGCTAGTGATCCCATATACATATTGAAGATTGGTGAGTCCTCATATTTTGAGGATCGATATTCTTTTATTGCTTTCACGTCTGTGATGTACAGGTTACGTCCCAATCACTTTCCTTATGATGTAATAGATGACTTTGAGACTTATGTTAGACTTCCGCCACTTTTGTCAAACTCTTTTATATGAATTGATACTCTTAAAAATCTTTTGGTTTTCTATTATCTTGTATGATGTATGCTAAGTGGATTATGTAGGGCCTCTGGGGGTCTTATACGCCATGTTACATCTAAGGTGTACTTTGGGTCGTGACAACTTCTGTTCGCTTGTTCATTTCTTTAGCTGCCTCTACGAATTGGCCTTTATATCAGTTGTATATTAAAAATGTGTTCCTTCATGGTGATCTTCTAGAGGAAGTATATATAGAGCAACCACCTGAATTTGTTGCTCAGAGAGGGTATGGGAAAGTCTGTCACTTGAAAAAGTCCTTGGATGGCTTGAAGTAGAGTCCTCGGGCTTGGTTTGGCAAGTTTAGTAAGGTAGTTCAGGATTTTGGTTTAAAAATCAGCAAATGTGATCACTCAGTATTCTACCGCCACTCAACAATGGGCATTATTCTCCTTGTTGTGTATGTTGATGACATTGTTATCACATGAAGTGATTATGTAGAGATCTCTTCCCTCAAGTCTTTCCTGCATACTAGGTTTGATACGAAGGACTTAGGCCAATTGAAATACTTTTTGGGAGTAGAAGTAAATAGAAACAAGAAGGGAGTTCTTTTGTCTCAAAGAAAATATATTCTTGACCTACTTGCAGAAACTAGAAAAATGGCAGCCAAACCCTGCAGTGCTCCAATGGTTCCCAATATGCATCTTATGACAGATGATGACGATCCTTTTGATACATAAGGTTAGTTGGAAAATTAAACTACCTTATTGTGACTCATCTTGATATTGCTTTTGTAGTAAGTGTTGTTAGCCAGTTCATGTCCGCGCCTACGGTCAAACATTAGGCAACTTTAGAACAAATTCTATGTTACTTGAAAGGAGCTCCTGGACTTGGCATACTGTATCGAAATCACGACCATACTCGTATTGAGTGTTTTGTAGATGTCAATTGGGCTGGATCGAAAATTGATAGAAGATCGACTATAGGTTATTGTGTCTTTGTTGGAGGGAACCTGGTATCATGGAGGAGTAGGAAGAAAAATGTTGTATCTCGATCTAGTGCAGAATATGAGTACAAAGCTATGTCGCAGTCTACATGTGAGATCATGTGGATACATCATCTTTTAACAGAAATTGGGTTGAAGCATCATATACCAGCAAAACTCTGGTGTGATAATCAAGTTGCGCTCCATATTGCCTTGAATCTGGTGTATCATGAAAGAATAAACATATTGAGGTTGACTGACATTTTATTCGTAAGAAGATTAAAAAAAGCCTGATTTCCACTGGCTACGTGAAGACATGAGAGCAACTAGGTGATTTATTCACAGAGGCGTTGAATGAAACTCGAATTGATTATCTTTGTAACAAGTTGGGCATGATTAATATCTATGCTCCAACTTGAGGGGGAGTGTTACAAAATGATTGTAGACACCTTTAGGTGTAGTGAACATAGCTTAACAAATATGTAGGGATATGATAGAATCTCTAGCAGTATGTAGGGATATGATAGAATATCTTTTGATTCCTTCCTTATTTAGTTTCCTTAATTAGAGCTCATTGTATTTGTATTTATACATCTTACGTAATGGAATAAGATCCAAGTTATTCTCCATTCTGTTACATCCTTGAAATAAGTAAGACGATAGAATTTTAGGAGGTTAGCTATTTTGGTTTGCTCCATTTAAAATTTCCTTTTGAGGGATTAAATAGAAAGATCATGGAAAAAGTGGGCAAGTGACAAAAAGTACTGGAATAAGAAATGTGATTCATTTTTACTTGTGTTAAGGTCTGCGTACATTTCATCATAAGTTTAATAATGTACGATCAATTACAAGTTCAGGAACCAAATGTGATTCATTTTTACTTCCAATGAAGTATGAAGTATGAAGTTGAAATTTGGGACATATCCTTCTCTTTGGTCTTCGCATATGATACTGAAACATTCGATGGGATTAAAAAATGTATATTTGATCCTTCTCCTTCTTGTATAGGTTTATTTGATCCTTCTCCTCTGTTGAATTTGTCATTGTCCTTGGCGATTTATCTGATGTTTGTGGTGTTGTTCTTCTAGTTAGTCCTTGTGGCTACTCGATGTCAGACGTTCCTGTTGTAAGTTCACTCTTTTTAGCTCTAGCAGGTTTTGTGACATATTCAAATATGGAAAATCCAAGACAGTTTGGACGTGATTAAATCTCATGCTGTCGTGCACTCTGGTGAAGAAGGACGTTCTATGGAATTTAAAAAGTTCTGTCGTCCTGCCTACTCCACCTCCCTAAAGGTGGCACTTATCTTTTCTCTTTGGAGACTCCATAGACAAGGGATACCAATTTACAGTAGTATGTTAGTTTTTCCATGAGAAGAGCTAGCAATGTTAAATGTTTTGTTTAGTAGTTACGTAATTATGCAATATGTTTAATTAACTACTATATGTTAAGCTCGTTGTTTTAATGTAACTTTCAACATACCTATAAGTATAAATGGCCCTAGATTGGCCACACATGAAACTTGTGTACGATGTCAAATTCCTTTTTATCAGATGTTACTTTTCTGTATCAACAAACTGTTTGCAAACCGAGATTCCTTTTTTGATCTTGTAAAGCTACTGCTATATTCAAGTTAATCTAGCTCACATGAATTGTATTGGTTAGAAAGACTTCTGTTATCACCTGACAGCCATGTTTCAGTAGCGGACCTATAACTTTGCACAAGCGGATTCAAATAATACCATAGTAGACAAAAATAGAGGCAGCTAGCATCAGACATAGCAAGCCAGAATTTCTAGCAACTCTGTTTTTCTTCTTTCTTATCACTCCCTCACGATGCAATCATCATCTCTAAATCACATTCGTTATTTTTTGACAATGGACAATTATTTTTCCATATTAATATTTTGAAATTTATCTATTTACTCTATCGAAACTTTCAAAAAGTTTGAACATCTCATTTCGACTTCTTGGAGATGTTGGCGCATTCACTGATGATCCATCATATTTAATAAACACAAATACATGTTTAAATAAAATCTATTGGGTTCGACTACATTTGCATATATAACCATTCTTTTCCTTAAATGAAAATAGAAAAGAGTTGAATGAATAGATAGTAAAACATGGATGATCAAGATTATTTATTAGTATGTACTTGCATCTTCAATATGTAACCTGCAGGCTTCTTTCTCTTAAGCTTAATCATATGGCTTAAAACTTTAGCATAACGACTAACCATTTCCTTGAATTTAACACCATTATTCTCTGCCTGTTTTACAACTATTTGAACTTGTCTTTCTTCTTCTGTAAAATGGTGTCCCAAAGAAGTCCTTCTACCTTCAATCAATTGCTTTAAACTCTTCTTCTCATCTGAATTATTCATCAATTCTTCATCATGATACTCCACACTTTCAACCACAACGTCTTCTTCTTTCGCTGTTTTTCTTGTTCTTTTTGACATACTAATATCATAACGAAGTTTTCTTGGAAAATTACATTCATTTTCCATTATTCTAATTTTGTTTGTTTTTAAGGTGCTTATTCTTCATGCTCATATGATTAAATAATTATAGACTAATTTACTATTCAAGGTTTGCTTAAGGGGTAGTTTTGGACTCCTAGGTAAAATGTCAGTTTTCTTTGGCAGGTTTTATTTATTTGTTCTAATAAGAGTTATAGTTTTACACTAATGATGGTGTAAACATCCCTATTAGTGTGGTCATCTTCAACTATTATAAATGATAACAACAATATATGTAGAGTATCTCACGAAGTGGGATTTGGGGAGGGGATAATGTATACAAACTTTACCATTACTTTAGAGTTAGAGAGACTGTTTCCGATAGATCCTCGGCTCAAGAAAACAAAGTACTACAAAGCACTATAGAGAAAGAAAGTAATTGAAATGAGTCAAATATTATAGATAACGTAATTTGACAAATTATTCTAAACAATAGTCATTATAGATGAAACGATAATCGAAGCATAAAAGAAACCACTGATAAAAAATGAACTCAAATGGCAAACAACTACAAGAGTACTAATACTATGAGTAAAATTACCCCTAATAGTATAAAAGAATATGTCAGATAACGTAAAACTATCTAACAAACATCCTACCCTAAGCGGTTTTGAGATATCGAATTTCACATTTTAATTACCTATAAATATACTTTAATTAGCTTAATAGTGTGAAAATATATATTTATACTGTTGATATATTACTTTAAGTAGGTAACGCTTTAAGTGCAAAGTTGTAATCATCAACAGTGAAGAGGAAATCTGTGAAACTTACGACTGTATTTTTGGCCAACCTTCATTTTCTTCAATTATTGCACATTGAAATTCATTTTCACGTCTTCTTTTTAATTTTTTTTTATTAGGGATAATTCCTATTGCTTTCACCACAAATTAGGTCACTTTTTTTTGCTTTCCTAAAATCAAGTTTTGATAATAAAATTAACTCACATTAGTATTTATATTAAATCAATAAATGCATGGGTATGTGTTTATACATAACTTTCAATATTTAACTATGGTTAATTTGTTGGGATCTATATTATTAACCATATGTTTAGATATAGTATCTATTATAGAATAATTATTTATTCAGTTTTAATAAAAATTTAATAGATCATATAATCGTTTATGGTGTCTGTTTACTTATATAGTAGATGGTTTAGTGTATAAAGTTTTAGCTTATATACAGAGGATTAAATCATTGGTTCTTACAAGTATAAAGTTTTTTTTGTTCACAATCTAATTAAGATGGAAATTGGACATGTCATCGGTACGATTGTAGCACAAGATTATGTATAATTTATCTTGATTATGGGAACGATATAGTTCCAACTTCTTGTGCTAGTGCATTTTATATGTATTGAATGTGACCGAGTAGAGATAACCGCTTTAGACTGACTTACAAAAGCATATTCTCTAAACTATTAAATGTACTTGTATTCTTAATCCTGATATAAATATCATGATTTGTATATATTAATTATTGTTTTGATTTATTAAAAGGTGAGATTCTGACGTGGGTCAATATGCCTGGTAGATTTGATGATGATAATATATATTGGTGAAATAATAAGTTAGTTGATGGAATTCATGTCTCGATATAGAGATTGATGATATGTCTTTTTGAGAAGCTTATAAGTTTTCATCGTGTCAAACCTTGCAAGTGAATTTTTGAATCCAACACATAAAATAAGTTAAGCAATGCTCTAAAGGAAATTAATCATTGAATTAAATTCGTCAGTAATTTAATTTATTGATTAATATATGTAATCTTAACATGGAGAATTTACATAAATGTTTATGATTTGTATGTATTAATTACTTGTTTTGATTTATTAGAATGTGAGATTATCATATGGATCAATATGCCTGGTAGGTTTGATGATGATAATATATATCGGTGAAATAATAAATTAGTTGATGAAATTCATGTCTCGATAGAAATTGATAATATGTCTTTTTGAGAAACTTATAAGTTTTCATTGTGTCAAACCTTGCAAGTGGATTTTTGAATCCGAGACATGAAATAAGTTAAGCAGTGCTCTAAAAGAAATTAATCATTGAATTAAATTCGTCAGTAATTTAATTTATTTGTAATGATCCGGTCGGTTAGTTTTAGAAAATTTTATGAATTTACCATTTTATCCCTCCCGATATCGACTCCAAGTCTTTTATAATTGAGTTTTGAAAGTTAGTTTCAAACTTTGAGTTTAAAGTTCAAAGTTTTGAGTTTGAAAGGTTAATATTGTTAAGAAAGTGATTTTCATTGTCTTTTAGAGTTTTGAGGGTCGGAATAGAATTTCGTCGATTCCATCAATCCCGAATTGTGCAATCTGGATTGTGACAGTTGTGGGCTTCAAATCAGAGTCCTTTTGAAGATCTGAGGTCCTAAGTTGTGAAATTATGAAAATTTAGACTTTGGGTTGACTTTGGTTAACATTTGGGGTTCGAATGCTCAGATCAAAATTTCGAGAGTTCTATTGAATTTGGGGGATGATATTAGGCCCAACTGAGGTCTTGGTTGATTTTTGATAGGTCCCGAGCTTGTTTTAGTCATTTAAGCATTGTCTTAACTTCTTGTGATTTTCACGGATGTCGGGTCAAAGAGACAATGTACTCGTATTTTGACAGTTCTATTGAGTGATGAACGCTGAGTATAATTGATTTGCATATATAGTTTGTATGTACGAGGTTCTGAACGAATTCAAAGGGTCCTTATGATTATTTTGAGTTCGGTTATTTTTATTGGTTTCTGGTTCAGGTGCATGACTATTTTGGTCATCGCGAGACTCCCTCATCACGATCGCGTAGCATCAATTTGAGGTGCATCGTAATCTCGTGGGTCTTGTTGCGATCGCGATGGTCAACTTAAATGAGTTGACTGTCTTACTCATCGCGATCGCGTGGCTCTAGGTCGCGATCGCAATGAGCATTTGAGACCTGGGCAGAATATTTTTGAAACATCGAGGTTTCAATCCCTGTAATGACTCGATCTGTCATTTTTTAAAAGTTCCATGAATTTACCATTTGCGCCTCTCGATAGCGACCCCGAGTCTTTAATGATTGAGTTTTGAAAGTTGGTTTCAAACTTTGAGTTTACAGTTGAGAATTCAGCAAGTTTTGAGTTTGAAAGGCTAAAGTGTGAAGAAAGTGGTTTCCGGTGTCTTTTGGAGTTTCGAGTGTCGAAATGGAATTCAATCGATTTCGTTAGTCCTGGAATGTGGAATTTGATTTGTTAGAGTTGTCGGTTTCAGGTTTAGAGTCTTTTTGAGGATTTGAGGTTCTAAATTTTGAATTGTGGAAATTTTGTCTTTGGTTGACTTTGGACAATATTATGAGGTTCGGATGCTCGGATCGGAATTTTGAGAGTTCCGTTAGATTTGGGGGATGATTTTAGGCCTATTTGAGGACTTGGTTGATTTTAAATAGGTTTCGAGCTTGTTTTAGCCTTTTTAGGCGTTGAGTTAGTTTCTTGTAATTTTCAGAGATGTCGGGTCAAAGAGATATCATATTTGTATTTCGACGATTCCATTGAGATTGGAACGTCGAGCATAATTGATTTGCATATGTGGTTTGTGTGTATGGGATTCCGAATGAATCTCGAGGGTCTTTTTGATGTTTTGGGAGATTGCTGAGTTTACTGATGTTTGTGTTTTGGTGCGCCTCGTGGTCGCGAGAGACATCTCACTTGTGCGAGCCTCACGTTAGCGAGGTTCGATTGAGTTTCGCGAAAGGGTTAACTCTTGTTGACCTACGCGTTTGCGAAGGACCTCCGCTTTCGCAACCTTTGTGTTAGTAAAGGTCTAGTTTGCGATTGTGATGGCCCCAAATTTTGTGCGGTTCGCTTAAGTGAACCTATGGTCGCAAAAGCGACATCAGAGAGGGGTTTTGACCTGCTATTTTTGGGGTTTAAGCCCCATTTTTCATTTTTGAGCTTGGACTACCTTTGAAGGCGATTTATGAAAGAATTTCTTGTGCAAAATCATTTGGGTAAGCTTTTATGACCCTATAACTTCATTTCTCTTTGATTATTTATGGATTTGAAAATCAAAATTTAGATTTTGATTGGTAAATGACATTGTTTTTCAAGAACTCATGTTCTAAACTAAAATGAAGATTGTGAACAGATTTTAAGTCCTTTTTTGAAATGGTTTTCACCAATGAGTTCCTAAATTCTTGAGTATCATTTTAAAATATTAAATTTCAGATTCAAACCTTTTTTGGAATTGGGTTTTGAGTTGTTTGACCTATTTTAAAAAGAAATTGAGATGGATATTGTTGTTTCCGAAAATTCATTGTGAATACTTGATTGTTATAGATTGTGTGACTTTGGACATTGATCAGAAGGGGAAGACTCAACTCTTGGAGTGATTAACTTATTGATTTAAGGCAAGTGATCTCCTAAATCTTGTATTCTAGTAGAATTTGTGTATCCTTTGTTGTTTGTGTGGTGATAGTAATGGAGATAAGGGGAAGGGTTAATTGTCCAATTGATAATTTTTAATGGATAAAAAGGGGTTGAGATGAAATGGCTAAGTGATGATCATGATGATGTGAATTTCCTTGTTGTAACCCTTATTGATTGATTGATGAACTGCTTGATAGCATGAATGTGGACTTGAGTTGCATGTATTGTTGTCTCTTCCATGTGGTGTGTTATTGTTTATGTGTATTGATTGTTGAACACAGACATATGATGGTTATGATGCCAAGGTCATTTCCAGCAGGTGTTTATGATGTTGAGGTCATTATCGACTAGTGCTATTATGCTAAGGTCTTTTTCGACAAGTGTGTGTGATATTGAGGTAATTGTCGTCTAGTGTATTGATATAAAGCCGATGGGAAATGATTCCGTCTAGTGAATTGATATAAATCCAATGGAAAATGGCGCCGACTAGTGATTTTATATAAAGCCAATGGGAAATGGTTCCTACAAGAGATTGATTATTGTGATTTGATAGATTTTGATGCTTATGTGTGACTTACTTGTTAATTGTGATTGCTGCAATTATTTCGTGTGAATAATCTACTTGATTCGTATTGGTTGTTGTATTATGACTATTGGACTGTGAATGTTGAGCCTTGTGGGCCGTGTATTGTAGAAATGTTAGGTTGGGTTAATTTTTGTGCATGTTGTAGTTTGAGGAGGTTCGGTTGGACTGAAAAGGGTATTCAATTTCTAGCTAGATGTCTTGTTTATGGGGTTGCTTGTCGGGTACCGTGTTGTTGGTACTCACTCCTTGCTTCTACACTTGTGTAGGTTCTGAGTTTGGGTTAGCGTGATTACTCCCGACGGACCCTCTTTTTCCTTTTCTTTATGCTTTGTTCTATTTAAGAAACAACTCAGGCTTGTAATTATTTCAATTCCACATTTTTGTATTAGAGGTTTGTACACGTGACAATCAGGTTTTAGAGTCTTAATAGAATGAATAAGTTTTCTGCTTTATCTTGTTCTTATTTTATTTGTTTCCACATTTCTTTCATTTTCGTTGCGTTGAGACTGACTTGTCTTGATTGGAATAGACAAGTGTCATTACATCCATTTTAGTAACACTTAATTTAGGCTATCTGTTTGATTTTTTTAGATTTTCTTGTATGTTTACCATCCAAAAATAATTAGTTAGTAATATTTTTATATTAATTAAAGAATAAGAACACAGCAATAACAAATCTAGTCTCACACAATTTTAACTAAGAGAATTAAAGAAAAAAAAAAGAAACAAAAATAGTTAATCAAATTGTCATCTTAAACACACAACACAAGTCGCATTTGTATACACACGTCAATAACATCTATATTCTTGACAGACACACACATCTTGACACAATTTCAATTACACATAGAGTATTGAGCAGTGAACACTTAAATTTTTTCATTGCAGTTCAATTACCTTACCACAAATACAGTCACACACTATTCTAACTGAAATATATATATTTGAAATTTCCTGCGCAAATTAAATTTGGAGAGAACCATTAGATACCAAACATAGATGATATATTCAAACACAATTCCGCACTTTTAGTCGAATAAATAAAATCGACAATACTTTCAAATATGTATTCACCATCTTGAAAAATAATAGTCTTACTCGGATAATTTCTTCATTGGATTCCTATAATGGAAGTTAATCAAACAAAGTCCGACAAAACTGAAAAATAGATGCTCTGACACACTTGTTGGTGAAGGTCGTTCACAACACCAACCGCTCGTTGCTCTGTTCACTTTTTCACCTGTATCTTATAATATAATTTACAAAAACGTCATAAATTTTCTTCATTTAATATCAGAAAATGAGAGGTTTTTGAATCTGAAACTTAATTATACAGTCATTCACTGTTCTGAATGTCTAATTATAATGAATTTAGAATAGTTTCAATGCAAAAAATGACGGTTTCTGTAACAATGAAAACTCAATGTAGAAACCGTTTTTCCCTTAACAATGAATATACGCGACATAAATTATAGTAGTTGGAATATGATAGGTCGGGACATTTCATCTTTGATGCCCTTTTAATTTAAATAAGAAATAAATGTGAACAGTTACAGTTTACACAATGGCTAGTGGCCTGCGATTTTTCTTATGCACAAAAAATAGGAAAAAATTATCAAAGAAAATAGATAAATACCTTTTATGAGAGGTGCCACATTAGCTTTTACATATCCTCATATATATATATATATATATATAAAAGGTTACTATTACTCTTTTTGTAAGGTTTAGGTCGATCCGATTTTCATGCAAACCCTAACCTTTTACATCTGAATCTATGATCGGAGCGGCCGTTGGCCAGTCGGCGGTGATGGGTGGTCGTCAACCGATCCCACTTACTTCTGATCCTAATAATTTGCCTACCGTGCATAATTTGCTTAGCGAAGAAAAGATGAAATCCAATAAAGGCAACTGTGCATCTCTTCTAAAACTTCTGCATATGAACTCTCTGAATAATGATAAGGCCCAGGTGGGCTCCCCGATATTCCTACTTTCAAGAATGGTGTTCCAAGTGTGACATGGACGGAGGATGAAGTTAAGAGGATGAATGCATTGGAAAACCTTCAATATGCGGTGATAGGAAAGTTCTCTTTTGGCTGGCCACAATTGGAGGAATTAAGGAAGATGATACGTGCTCAATGTCATATTAAAGGAGACTTCCAGATCGGTTTATTGAGAAACAAGCATGTATTAATAAGGTTGGAACTTGTTGAAGATTTTGTGAATATGATGGCTATTACATCACTTATGAGACCTCTAATATATGAAGAAAAATTCATAGTTACTGAAGAAACCACTCAAGCTATGGCATGGATTTCTTTTCCTGACCTATGGCCTACATTTTTTGGGAAGGAATCTCTATTTTCACTAGCGACAACTATAGGGAAACCAATTCACCTGGATAATGCAACCATTAACAAGACTAGACCTAGTTGTGCGAGGGTGAAAGTCCAGGTGGATTTACTGGGGGAGCTACCTAACCTGGTGGAATTGGAAGTTGCTGATCCTATTAAGAATACGTCCAGAGTGGAGAAGATTAGAGAAGTATATGACATGCTACCTAAATATTGCAAGAAGTGCAGATTACACGGGCATAATGAGGAAGAGTGTAAAATTCTACACCCAGAATTGAAAAAGAAGGAACCAACAGAGGATGAAAAGGGGAATGACAATGAGGTATTTAAACAACAACATCAGAGAGTTCAAGGAAAAGTTTATAAGCAGTGGATCCCTACTACCTTTTCTTAAAGGGATACCAATATCGCAGCTGATGTAGTCGAAGAAAAATAGAGAAAGAAAAGGTTACTACTAGTAACCCTTTTAATGCTCTTACAAAAGAAAATACTGATATTGATGCTGAAGCAGAGCAGAGAATAATTACAGATAAAGGAGTACAGGAGTGCACTAAAGGATGGGTGTGTAATTTTTTCTATAAGGTAAAGGACATACATGATCAGGGAACTAGCAGGCAAACAATCACAGAGATGCAATGCAGAGATGAACAAAAAAGTCATTCACAAACATATACTACATGGGAGTTGTCAATCATTACAAGTTGCAATATAAACCTGGACATAGAAGAGCATACATTAATGGATAAAGATAAGCTGGAAGATGAAAACATGAATATTGTAGCATATGCCAATCTGCAGAATAGAACAAAAGAGGTTAATGTTAGGCCTAATGGTGAATATCAATCAATTGTAAAATGGACAAAGGAGGAGACATCAGCTACCAGTCAGGGAGACATATTTCCCAGACCTTTACAGATTGAATGTGTTGATGGGACCCATATATCTGAACAAGAAGAATTGTTAGCCCTTGCATATTGTGAGCAAGCCAATAAGGCACATGGAAATCAACAGAGAGCACTTTCAACACCTGCAGATACAAGGTTAATTCTTTTTGTTGACACACATCAAAGTTTTCCCATGCAAATGTTTCATGAATTGGTAACTCATCCATGGGTAAACAAGGAGAATCAAATAAATGTTGCACAACAGGAGAGGGCTAAGGTGGAGGAACAGGATGAATGTGATGACCAAAATAACCTCATTGAGGTGTGTATAGAAGCAAGACTATCAACATAAGAGATAACAAAGAAGAGAAAGATTAAACCTCAAGGACCTATTAGGGTCAACCCGGTGAGGACTGTAAGAACAAATCTAAAATCATGTACAAAGCTTTGATATGGAATATTAGATCTGTGAGAACTCATCATTCATTCCACACAGTACAAATGTTGCATAGACACCATAAATTTGATGTGGTGGCTCTTATGGAACCTTTTCAAGATATAAGGCATATTCAATCATATAAAAGAAGATTGGGCATGTCATATAAAAATTATAATGTAAATGGGAAGATATGGATATTTGTACAAGAGAATATTCAAGTGGAGGTAATATCTGACTCAGAACAACAACTGACTGTGAAATTACTATTTGATAATGGCCATCAAATGATCAATACCTTGGTATATGCAAAATGTAGTTCCTATGAAAAACTACAATTGTGGAATGCGATCTACTCTATTGATCAGAGTATTGTATATCCATGGTTGGTAGGAGGTGATTTTAATGTAATTTTGTCTCCAGAAGAGAAAATAGGTGGTCTGCCAGTTTATCCTTCTGAAGTGGAAGACTTTGCTTTCTGCACAAATTCTTGTGAATTGGTTGATATAAGATTAAATGGAAGTCCATTCACCTGGTGGAATGGTAGGGCTGATGAGGAGTGTATCTTCAAAAGATTGGACAAAATCTTTGTAAACAATCTATTTTTGGGAGAAATGGGGAATGTAAAATTAGATATTCTTGCCAGGTCTGGATCTGATCATGCTCCAATGTTATTAACTTGTGGTGGACAAGTTCCACATCTTTATAAACCTTTCAGATTTCTTAAATTTTGGACTGAGAAAGAAGAGTTCAAAGAGGTGGTGCAGCAGAATTGGGTTGCTGATGGAACCTCAGATGTTTTTGTAAACTTGAAGTTGAAGATGAAGAGAACTAGGCAAGCTTTGAGAAAGTGGAGCAGAGAGTGTTATGGTGATATTTTCCAACAACTTATCATCAGGGAAGATATTGTCAGAGTTAAGGAACAATTGTTTGAGCAAACACCTTCTACAGTCAACAGAGAGGTACTTAGTAGAGCTCAAGCTGAGTATAACAAGTATCTACACTTTGAGGAAGAGTTTTGGAGACAGAAATTAGGTTGATACCAATTTTTGGGGGTGCGGAATTCATCTGTTCTTATATTAATTTTAGCTAAAGGTTTTATTATAATATTCTTTGGCTAAGGGTTTTAATCTTGATATTTCTTTAATATTATTTATGGTGTATTCTAGGTATAAAATATCTTGGGTTCTTAGGTACATATATAAATTATTCTCCATTAATTGTTCTAGTAGTTTTATATTTTCCATAGCTTCTGTCCAATATTGTAAATATTCGTAGTTCATTTTAATCTGAATCTTCTATTTCTAAATCATATATTTCGGGGTCTGAATATAGATCATGTAGGTCTATCTCATACCATTGTTGGTTTAGTATATCTTCTGATTCGTCGTCATTCAATATTTTTTCTCATATAATTCTTCTTAATTCCACTATCTTTATATCTTTAAGTATATATAAGATTAAAGTTTCATAACTTTTTATCATTTCATCATGCATATATGTAGCCATGTCCTTTGTTATGCAGGTTTTTGTTTTCAATTATTCCTTCCTATCATATTCATAATTGATTAAATTCATATTAGATCATTATGAGCTAGATTATCTGTTATCATGTTCTCCTGTCACTACTAGCATCGTACTTTAGCAGATACTTCCTCCTTATCAGCGCCTCAACTGCATTTACTACCCTAACGGCTTTCCTCGCCTACTGGTTTCAACATTAGGATGGCATAGTATAGGAGTTTTCTCTCTGTTTCCAGTGTGCTAATAAACTAGAAATCATGATTCAAATAATTCTAATACATAATAACTAACATAAATTTATTCAATCATATATATGATATTCAGGAATATATGAAATTAGTTCTGCATATTTATTAAACAATATACCTTTGCCTCTTGCTCATCCATGATATCTGAAGGTTGCTCCATTATCTATTAAGTATGAATATCTTAAGTTATTTTGAGAGTATTTGAGAGTGTTTTTATGAAAGTTTGCTTCGTTTATTGAAGGCTTGCCTCTTATGTTCCATATACATTCATTTATATAGAAAGGAAATTCTATCCTATAGCTACTTTACAATAATGCACAATAATGCACATCCTATACTACTTAATAATGCCCCTAATAATTTACAATAATGCGCCTACTTTACGACTTTTTTACATAGTACTGTACACTTTATACTATTTACTTTTGGCCTTGTCAGCCAAATATGTCTTCCTTGCCTTATCTTTTTATCTCTTCAGTCTTCCGTCTCTATCTTCTTTTTCTTTTCTTCTTTATCTTCTTATCTCATAGGCTTTATTTGATTTGATCATTCCAGCTGGACATCTGGAATCACATTGTCATCTCCATTACATTTTGAACATATATGGTCAGGGTATTTGTGTCCAATTAGCTTGCAATATCTAGTTAATAGCTCTGACGAAATAAATCATGCCTTTAATGCTCTTGTTATAGGTCTTTCTTCTGGTTTTAATAAAGATATAATCCATTTCTGGACTTCATCCATATTTGATTTCCTTAGCTCTCTTGAGTTGGCATAAATCATTAATTGATCTCTGGAATAGTAACTCCATATAGCATTTCCATTTAAATAATTGTTGGCTAATTCTTGTATTATAGTTGATATACCAATTATTCTTTTATTGAAATAAAAATTGGGTATCTCAATTTTCGATATTTCTGGTTGTTCTCCAATATCTTTCGGTATTATCATATCTTTGGTCAGGCCTATCTTTACAACTTGAATCGGAGGTTTTTATCTCCTCATGTAATATCTCTGTTGTTGCCGTATATAATTTCACATAGAATAAATTCCCTTTGGTTACTTTTTTATATATAATAAATGCTTTGTATAATTCTAGTATACCGCTTAGTTCTTATCTGTCGTAGGTATATGCAGTACTTATTAATCCATAATTATAACATGTTTTAACTAGGTTACAATTGGTTTTTGGCTGGGCGATTAGCTTGTTGTATCCTTGTAATTTCTGAGTTATATAGTCTTGGTTTGGATCTTTTGTAGTGGTAGATCTGGGATTTAGGTTTAAATAAGTTTGGATTTTGTATATATTTTCGATGTATATCCTTGTAATATGGTTATATACATTTTTCTCATGTTGTAGACTATCTGCATACGTCGAAGTTTGTGGTTCTGTGGTTAATGAGTTTTTTGCTTTTTGTGTAAATGGTTTTTCAAATAACTGGTTTAAATTTGTATTTCGTTATTTTTTTCAATAACTGGTTTTCTTGTACCTGCAACTGTATTTAAACAAACATTATGGGTTTTTAGGTGTTTCCCAACGTCACCTCTTAACTCTGGATTTTTAAAGTTTTCCGATCGACTTAGCTCCGCATTTTTACAGTCATGCTGATGACTTGTACTAGCTTTCGACTTCAGATTATCTTCATTAGTCTTTAGCTTTTGTATCTCATTGTCCATACTGTCCACTTTTATCAAAGTGTAGTAATGGCTTCGAGTAATTCTTCAATTATATTTTCTTTCACAGTTTGAGTAGCTTTGTCTTGATAAGTAATCTGCAATAACATTCTTATCAGTCTTTATTACTTCAATAGTAAATGTAAAATTTAATATATTTAATACCAATATTCTTATTTCTTTTGTAGTTACTGAATCTTGTATTTTTCTTGTTAGCCACCATTTCACTTGTGTATCATCTGTCCTTGTAATAAATTTGTTATATATAATATATGGTTCAAATGATAATAAACATTTATATACCGAATATAATTCTTTCCTGTTTATTTTCCATTTTATTTCTGTATTAGTAAATGTTCCTGAATAATATCTACAATGATGTTCTATCTCTTCTTTATCATACATGTATTTTAAGACTCCTCCATAACTCTTTTCACTGGCATCTGATTCTACTATATAAGTAAATTTTTTGTTATAGTATTCTTTGGCTAAGAGTTTTAATCTTGATATTTCTTTAATATATGATTTAGAAATAGAAGATTCAGATTAAAATGAACTAAGAATATTTATAATATTGGACAGAAGCTATGGAAAATATAAAACTACTTGAACAATTAATGGAGAATAATATATATATGTACCTAAGAACCCAAGATATGTTATACCTAGAATACATCATAAATAATATTAAAGAAATATCAAGATTAAAACCCTTAGCCAAAGAATATTATAATAAAACCTTTAGCTAAAATTAATATAAGAACAGATGAATTCCGCACCCCCAAAAATTGGTATCAGAGCTATGGATGAAAAGAAAATTACTAGAAAATTAAGGAAAATCAAAGGGAAATTAAACAAATTATACCCAGAATACAAACAACTCAACATTACTAAAACCAATAATAATAAATTAGAACAATTGATAGATAATATATCTAAAATAGAATATAAATATATTCAATTTCTAAAAATACAATGAATAACGAGTATAAAAAAAATCCTATTGAAATAATTATAACAAAAAGACAAGAATTAAGACATAGGCAAAATAGACTTAACAGTAATATATTTGCAGGAACTTGTAAAAAATCTATAGTAGCACAGAGAAAAATAATTTTATATCTACAGATACAAATAAAAAACTTAGAATATAAACTACAACACAATTTATAAATGAATAAAGAAGAATACGCAATAGATGAAAAAAACACATGAAAACTATGACGGATTAAAAATAAAGATAATATTTTCTAATTTAGGA